CGACCAGCTGAGACATTACTTCAAACCAACTAAAGCAACGCCTTCAAGGGCATGATAGCCATGTTAGGCATTTTGACCAAAGGACTTAAAATAAAATAAAAAATAACACAACACCAAGCAAAACCAAACAAACTGTAAACTTTTCTGCTGATTGGCCATCAGCTGAAGTAGCAGCAATAACAGCTTGAGGATAATCAGACAAAAAAAACATCATCATACTGCACATACCGGGCATCACATGAACTAGAATGCAAACAGGAAAGACAGTCAAGAGATGGCTGTGTAATTAATCTGTGTGAACAGCATGAAGCACTGCAAGACTTTGTCCTCCAATAAAACTGATCATTTGCACTCATTTTTTAAATGAAAAAATATAAACAAGGTAATTATTCTTTCAAAAGATGATACATTGTTTTTCTCTATTAGTCTACAATTCTTTTTGTAGACTAATAGAGAAAAAAAACAGAGCAAGTAAATATCCCGTCTGTGCACAAGTACACATTCCAAAAACAATAGCAGTCTGCAGACCAGATAATTCACTCTTTTTCTTCCAGCACCGACGATCACGAGGAATTCAACATCTCCTCACTTTGACTTGGCAGAGGGTTTCATGTTTTTCTTTACACCCAGTGTAGGTAATATAATAACGCAGGGCACATACCGGCTTATTTCTTGCATAACTTCTCGGTAAATTTTAAGCAAAAACAAGGAGGTAACGAAACAGCAGGAGTGGAGCTGATGGACGGCAGCCTGCACAATGCCCCAACCTGCATGAATGAAGAGACGGATGTTAACTCACCTCTACTGACGTGCACACTGACTGGTACTCATCTGTAATGAAAAAGCAGAAAAGGAGGATTATTCACATTCAGTCAATGAAGCGGGTTATGTATCGTGCATGTGGCTGCTTGTAGCCCACCGCAAGGCAGATACACCATCTGAATTATTAATGTAGAGTTACTGGACAGTTATGAAATCCATTTTTAGCCACACAAATGTTGGGAATGCATTAAATATCTAACAATTGTGTAATTATAGGGAGTGGAAACTTGACAGAGAAACACAGAAGGAGCTGATATACATAACCACTAAAGAGCAGAAAAGTAACAAGTGAATAAATGATTAAGTTTTAGCTGTAGATAAAGCAGAAAACAAAAATCTAATCTTGTTAATGGAAAACATTCTCAAAATGTAAATCCAAATTTAAGAAAAATAATAGGTTAGCCTCTGACTGAAACAAGAGAGCGGGTTGATCATTACCTATGCACTAATTTAAAGTGCATTCAGATGAACCAGCTTCTCACCAGAGATAGAGATCTGACCAAAGTATCAAGGGGAGAAGGAATGAGCTCAGAGGATAAAGTGCAGATGATGTGAAGTCACTGCGCACATTAATGCAGTGCAACAATAAACCAGTGCATATAAATGACACATTTTGTAAAGATTTAAGATGCCCATTTTATTGGAGACAATCATCCACTATAACTGAGAAAGGAGAAATTACATTCCTTGTTCATCTAAAACAAAAAAGGTTACGATTTTGACTTTCGCTGGTGCATAAATTTGATATAACAGATTCTTGTTATTCTGTTAACGGCGATTCAAAATGGGAAAGACAAGAGAAATTCATTAAAATAAGGCAGATCTGTGTTAAAAATTGTAGAAAAGAAAACAAAAAGTTTGAAACAAACTTTTTGTTTGATGAAAATGAAAATCAATTTTCATCTTGTGGCAAAAATTAGCATTAACATGATTTCTCTTGGGTGAGAGATGGTTTTGGTAGCATCATCATGTAGAGGAGATGCTTTATTTTTCAGCAAAAAGGTTTTTCTACAAGGAGTCAAAGGCCACACTTTTCAGATACCACCTTATATTGATCCACTGCATAAAATAAAATACATTGAAGTTTGTGGTTGTTCCATGTGAAAATGTGAAAAAGTTGAAGGGCTATGAATGTTTTTGCTAAGCCCTCTGCGGGACATCTTGATACAAGATAATATCAGCAGAAACCATCAGGATTAGGGTTGGTTTTCTGGGAGCTTTGCCAAATCCAACCACCTTGTCACTGACTCATGCGTAGGTTGCAAAAACATAGAGTTTTGGATGCATTGCAAGCTTCTTCTTCTTCTTGTTACTAGAGACTTAATAGGTCTCACATCCCTCTCATCACCAGCCCTAATAAGAGTCAGAACAGAGCCCAAGCTGCCCTGAAATACCCCAGCCACAAGCTAAACGAGTCAAAAGGACTCCCCTCAAAATCTCCAAACTTAATGTACTAAGAGCTCTAAAGCCTGTGCTTCCAGTCATCGCTTTCAGTTCTATTTTTGGTAGAGCAAAGACGCTCAAACGCACACACTGAATCTGTTTATTCTGTGGGAATCAGCGCCGAACACGACAGTGCAAAAAGCCGGACTAAGAGGCTGGAAAGAAGGAGGGATGCGACAAAGCGGGGAGGTGAATATCAGAAGGCATGCGGCAAATATGTTCCCAAGAAGGATGGGACAGAAGCCGAGAGCCTAAAGCTGTCATGACGAACAAGCCTCCACCTCCTTCCACACCCAGCATTATTGCTCACATATTTGTGGAATGCAGTGACAATGCCACAAGGCTTTAACGCGTTGAGCACACCTGCTAACACACCTGAGCTGCTTCAGTACCAAACCCAGTAGATGACAGAAAATGACATCAGACTTTCCGTGATGATTTTCCCACTTCCAGGTCTAATACCGATGGGATTTGCTAATTAAAATGCTCTGAGATCAGCCTAACTATCATTACTTTCTGAACCTGTAATGCCTTGATTCTTAAAAAAAAAAAAGCAAAAGTGACAGTTAATACATCGCAAGTAAATTGATGGTATAATTAATGGGAAGGAGTTCTCCTCCACATGTGTCAAACAAGGGAGTTAGTTTTTCTAATATTTACTTTTAAAAAGTAAAATGCAGTTTCAAGTTTCAAAGACATTTGATGGAAAAAAAAGAGATAACACTTATCTTTTAAACTGTCAAAGTGATACATTTCATGTCAACTTTCAGTAATTAAAGAATGTTTATTTTATTTCTCCTTGTTTCAATCAGTATTATTTCTGTACTTTTAGTTTGGCAGTGTATTGATTTAAAATAATGACATGGCTACACTGTCCGAAAATTGGAAGTTATCTTTAAAGTTTTGTTTATCTGTAAAATCTGCTCGTCAACATGTCTCATCTGTGTGTAGTTTTTTTTTCCTTTATAACTTTTGTTTTGTTTTTGTGGCTGTTTGTCATCACCTAATTTTTGTCTTCTATAAATACCTATTTTTGCCTTTGTGACATGAATGACTATTTGTAACAGACTCAAATGTAAATTAAATCAGGCCATTTTTATTTTCTTTTTGCGTAGTCAAATCAATCATTTTTGATCACCAAGCTTCAAATCTATAATATTTTATGAACTTAGTCCATTTGTCCTGTGTTTTAAAGTTTCTTCAGGGATTTTTGAATCCCATTCTCCAGCTCTGACCTGTATCAACATTAATATAACCCTGGTGGCAGCTATATGACTAATCTGTCCCTGGCTTCAGGCCAGTTTCTGTCCTGATGCAGGCTAAATTGCAGGGATATGGCCTTGAAACAAGGCGCTCTAAAACATTTTTGAATATATCACGTGGTTCAGTGTTTACTGAAGCTAACTGACCACCATTCATTCATCTGCAGCCTGCTTGATTAAGCTGCCACATTCACTAAGAGTGTGGTGAAAATAATGCATGTTGTGAGAACATAAACATTTCAGAAAGCATACATCTTTTCCTCAGATTTACCAGCAGTTATTCGGTGGTCTATGGATTATTATTATTAACAGCCGTATTAAGCGCATCTAAACACATTCGCCACATGGCTGGAAGCAGACAACCACAACAATATGGCCTCTCTGTGGGGATGCTCCCATCATTCGTTACGCTGGGGTGGATGTGGAGATTTGTTGAAATTCGGCCTTTGCAGTTTACCTTTTCATCAGAGTGAAATAATCCCGACAACTCGTCTGCTTTCGTTACCTGTGCCGCCGTCGAAGTGCAGCTTGACAGCCCCGTCTCTTCCGATCCTCACATTCCCAGGTCCGTCGATCTTCCTCGGGCTGTCCGCCGCCGAGGAGCCCGCTGCCTTGGACGAGCCTCTCCGTCTGTGTTTCTGCGCTAACGTCCGACAGCACTGGTAGCACACTGCCCATGCCTGCTCCTCGTTTATCGGCTGGCTGTACAGAGTCAGAATTTCATCCAGGGACAAGTCCTCGGATCCGTCTCCGCAGTCCATGCTCGAGTCTCCGCGGTTCAAATCCCGAAGAATGGTCGGCGAAGAAGAAGAAGACAGCGCGCCCTCCTTGTTCCCGGGTCGCTTCGCCATTTTCACACCATCCCTAATTCCCGAATACTGAGAAAGAAGGACCGAAGATGCTGGTCAATGTTTCTGTGTTACATAGTCAAGTTTCTCTGAACCAGCCGGTGACCGTCCAGTGACTCGGTGATGTGCGCTGACTGGAGTGACGGAGGAGCGCCAACCGTTCTGTGAACAGCAGCAGCCCTGCTGTCGGCCGGCGCCGCGTGGTCCCTGCGCCCGCCATGTTCCAGTCAGTAGTAACGTCACAACGCAATGAGTAAATATTTACATCCATTCATTTATATGTGTGCATGTGTAAAAAAATAAATAAAAAACATCAGTGTCGACTGAAACTTATGAGACGTTTGATTTATTACATGTTTAAATCATATTGATGTAATTATTTACTGGATTACTCGTCATTGCCTGGGCTAAACTAAAAGGTAAAAATGCTAACACAATTAATTTGTTTAATCATTAAATGTGAAATAATGATTTGATAAAGAAATAATGACATATATTTCAACTTTCTCTTAATAATTTAAAAGTTGCTATTGTAACAATGGGACTTTTTTATGCATATTACATGTTTATTTATGAAGTTATTTCTATTTGTTGTTGTTTCAAAACTTTTGATATATGTACAGCCTACTTGTTCATTTATTTATTTATTTATCATCTCCAAAAATGATACAGATAATCACAAATGTATTTATTCATCTCAGTTTAATTTGAAGGGAGATGAAGGAAGGTTAACTTAATGTGGGACCTTTGGGCCTCAACGACTAAACACATCACTAATCAATCAATCCATTCATCAACTTTATACTTTTAGGTAGATTTGCGAGGTGACTTTCTTTAGCACGTCACCAAAGCTTCAAATAAAGAATGCAAGCTATATTTTCACTCTAATCTTGGTTAGTTGTATATTTTCAAGAACACCAGTGTGTGGTTGCCCAGTGATACTGAAACAAAATAGTTGCCTTTATTTTTTTTTCTCTGATGCTCCATTCAGGTGGTAGCATCGCGATGTAAAATTGTTCTTATGTTTTTTTTTCTGACATATACATTTTATTTTTGTGACCAATGAACTTCAGATGTGACACTGTTTTCTTGTTGTTTCACAACTTTGTTTTGAAACATAAGTGCCGTGTGACTGAGTTGATAATTAAAATTCTTGAGAAAAACCAGGCATACCTTGTCAAGTCCGGCTGAAGTCATAACCAACAGATTGTCTTTTATTTACATTCAAACCCAGCTGAGCATCACAGCTTCCACCTGAATCTTGTCAGCCTTCTCCAGCATCAGGTGTTCAACATCGCCATCTGCTGGTCAGTAGTTTGGTTACTGCACTGCCGCATCTTCTCCGACCTCCTGAGTTTATTTCATGAGTTCTTATTATCTAAAATACTTTGAAGTCCAATGGCTTACCAGTATATTACAGATGTCCACATGCAGATCAGTGTGAGCCCCAACAATGTTATACATTGTATTGTTGTAAATAATACCATTTTCCACTAAACACAAAATAGAGACTAAAACAGAACCATACAGCACAGTATACAGAACAAATAAAAAAATAAAAATAAAATAGTTCCGTTCAAATTAAGAGGAATTGTAGGCACATGCAGGTGTAGTTTTTTGTTTTTGTTTTGTTTTGTTTATCTTGCAAAGGCTGAAGAAGAACGTCTTTAGCATTCAAGCTTCAGACACCCCAATCTCAGCACTTAAACAGCACTTAAAGGTTGTTGGGTTTTTTTTATTAAAATTACTCACTGCACTGACTGGGCTGAAATAGCACAATCCAACAACAAAATATTTGCACAAAGAACAAAAGCGAATTCTTAAGGAAGCCCCGACACAGAGCACATCTGATGTGCAGATTGAGATCGTACTGTGCATATGGGGCAATCTTTCCTTTTCAAATGTTGTTTTTTCTCTTCTTCGAACTGTCTTAACACAGTGACACTTTCCCTGACTGGTACTATGAGCATGGAGGAAAAAGCATGGTGTTTGGTTCCCACTGTCTTCCTCACACATGCAACAGCAATGCAGCATCTCGAGGTCTTTGGGTGGAGACGTAAGCAGGCGCCCTGTTTGGTGAATCGCTGCCTTCAGGAGCCAGAGCAGCACAAAGTCACAAGCAAAGAACATCCGGACACGTCTGCAAGTCCTTGCCCTGCTGTGTGATTAAATATTCTTGCAGCCTAGCCAATTTGCCTCCTCACAGTGTTGCAGCTCTCCTCTCATCTCTCGTCGCAGGCGGTCTCTGGTTCAGGAGTTCCAGGGCTGTTGACACTGACAGACTGGCCGTCCTTTGACAAAGCGCTGGCCTCCTTCGATGCTCCTCTTTTGGAGTCGCGGGTACTTTGCTGTGAAAAAGATTTTAAATATCACTTTGACCCACACTAGGCAGTGAGAAGTCAGGGAAGACCAGAGTTAACCAATCCTGCTGCAGTGATATGAGTTGAATTGGTTTTAACTGATTGAATATCCATCGTACAATTGGTACTCTAGGTAAAGATGCATAAAGAGCTTGAATATTTTGTTGGAACAGCATAGAAAAAATAATCAATTAGAACCATGCTTCTAATTGATTACTTTCACTTAGATTATAAGCAACAGAATAACACCAAGTAATGTATACATGGAAAGTGGAAAGAAAATGGCACATGGTTTTCCACATTTTGCTAAATCTGAACATATATGACATGTACATGTATTTAGTCCCTTTCTGCACTGATAATAAGATCCAGTGCACATAATGGGCCTCATCAAAACTTCCAGGAATCCTGAACTCTACATTTAATCCAAAAATGCAGTGAGAAGATGTCTGGCCATCAGTTTGAGACATTTAAGCGGATTTGATGCTGTTTAGTGATGTTAAGCAGACGATTTATGCTTGAATGTAACTGAAACACGTCTGCAAAGGAAGGTGAGCCAAAATTTATGCACAGACAATAAAAAGACCCACTGTCGATCACAAGTGCTTGATGGCCAAGGGTGACGCACCTTGCTTTCTCACATCAGACCAGCTTGGTTTACACAGCTTTCCTGAAATTACTATATGAAAACCGCATTTTAATTTACTCAGGATGTCTTTCCCAGAAATTAACATTTCTGTGCTGATCTTAAACACTGACGTGTGACAGAAAAGCAAACACAGACGAAATATGTCAGGGAGAAAAGTACTTTTTCACAGCACTGTCCATCAGTCAAGGAGCGCCTCGGTCTTCTCTGGTGGTTGGAGCCATTGGTGGTGATGGCCTGCTTCCCACATTGGGTTCCTGTTGTCACCATCCTTTTCTCCTTCAGACCGGCCTCCACAGCTTTACCTTTAACAGAATAATAACAAAGCAAAACAAACAATGAATAAAACATATGGCCCTGTGCCTGCTGGGAATAGTTGTGATTTGCATTTTGCACTTGAGCATAATTTTCCAGTCCACATGAAGTGGCTTTCAAGAGGCAGTCGGCCTGCAGCGAGAGATCCTCGAATCCAACTTACTGCTCGGGACCGAAACGGGGGGTTCAACGTCCGTGTTCGTGAGCCATGTCGACTCTGTTTCTCTGGTCCAGCTCTCATGGTACCTCGGCTCGATTATCGCGTCCGCCCGACTCCCTCCACAACCCATCGAGAAAACCATCCACGGCAAGTGTAGCTGACGCTGACGCGGATTTAAAAAAAAAAATTAAAAAAGCGGAGGGTGTGGAAACTCGGTCCGGTTCGCCTCACAGCAGCAGCAGCATCCTTCACATCGGCTCGGTTCCTGTTTCTTCTTCCATCATCCTCATCAGCTGCTGCTGCTGCTGCTGGTTGGCGTTTCTCTCCACAGGCTGCCAGCAGCTGACCAGCATCAACACACACGGAGGTGTTGTGCGTCATCGGGAGAGGAGGGAGTTCGCACTGCGCAGACTCAGAGCGCTGATTGGCTCAGCTCAAGATGCTGCGAGCATCACCACTACGACGAGCGTCGTCCCCGTCATCATGCAAACAAATACAACTCCGAATCCAAACTATTTAGCAGCGTTGAGCAAAAAATATTTGGAAAGCTCCGCGACAAGTTCAGGAAACTGCCACGCTTCCATGTTTGCTGTTTGTTTTTGGTTTTTTATTTATCGTTAATGATCTTCAGACTGATATGTCATATTTATGGGGTAAACGCACGTAAAATATTTTTAAATAAATTATATTCTTTTTTTTTTGCTAAAGTGCGGTTAAATGTTGTTCATTCCAGCATTTAATTTCAGCGTAATTATTCAGTAATTACGCTGAAATCCCACGTAAGAATGTTTTTGGGGTTTTTTGGTCACACTTATTTGCACCTTAAAAAGGTCTATGACATTTATATGCTGCAAGCATTTTGTTATTTGGTTATTATTTCATATTTTATGGTGGCCTGGATCTTATAACCATGAGGTGCAAATGTACAAAATGTTTTCTGGTCACTCATCAAAATGGGAAAGCTAAGAAAGCATTTGGATAAGGCATGTTTGGTGTTGATCTCAATAACTCATAGGTTCTACATCCACTCACCTAAACCTGAGTTAATTAAGAGCGTTAATTTAAAAACAACAACAAAAAAACACAGAAAATGTGGCAAATTCAGTTGGACAAGGACTCAAGTTTGTATTGCAAGCAAGACGGTAAAAGAGGTAAACACCAAAAGGCTATTTCATAATTATTGCTGAGACTGGACTGTATCCTGTCTGTGTAAAATCTTGCAGCACAGCACAATTCTTTCATTTTGCTTTTGTTGCAGATTTTGTGCATACTTGACCCTCTTGGGCTCCTGTATTTTACCCATTTTTACCAGTCACAGTGCATCAGAAACTTGTACGGAGTACACACAGTTTTTAGGATTAAGTGTACGAACAGCTTGAAAAGAACAAATCCATCTTCACAGCAACGTAGTCACAAATCTATTATAAACCTTCAAAACACACTGATCTCCCTATAATCTGTTTTATTTTAGATATAGCTTTTTTAGATATAGCCAATTTACAACGGCTTATTATTTACAAAATTGTATTTACTGACAAGAACTACTCTAGACCAAGCGTTTATTTTCCTATTTTTATTCCAGAAACTGAAATTCAGTTAATCCCAGTAAATTTTGCAATGTTATTTGACTATTTAATCCTCTGTGATGGTTTTATTTACAACGCAGCAGGTTTGTTTGCGTAACAGAGGACAATAAAAACTGTATATATTACATACTGAATTTATTTTCACATTAATTTTTGAGCGTGTGGTTTATTTTCCTTCACACTAACAACACAGCATTAGCACACAAACCAGTGTTGATATTCTTCAAAGGAAATCATGAAGCATCAATGCCCTTTTGTAAACTGATCAATTTAGTGCATCGCAGATCACATCAAGAGAAGGAATGCAGTGTTTTAATTGTACATATAAACAGATACCTATTTTTGATAAATAAACACAACACATTTGAAAAAAGCAAAGAAAAAAGAAACACGGTTGCTTATTCTGAGGGATAAATTTTCACTGTGTTCAGCCATACTCTCAGATCTTCCACATGTTTATTTCTCCACTAAAAATGCACTTTTTCAAGGTAAATAGGGAATGTCACCAGTGCTCCTGAGAGTCAATGGATATACAACGAGGAGCAAAGAGCAAACAACATAAAACTGTAGAGTTGAGCACTTTTGTATTCTTACAAGGAAGTCATACTTGATGTTTTCACTTGGAAATGTACAAGAAAATATTTGAATGAAAACCAAAAATGGGAAACAAAAGGTGGAAATCGGGTGACAGAACAAAATAAATTACAGCTTGTAAAGTAAGCATGTCACATCAAAACATTACAGCATATTAAGGTAATAGCCAGATTTTCAGACTTTGAAATCCAGAAGATTGCAGTCGATCTTGTAGTAAACGTACGGGTAGTACTCCTGTTGGCTCAGATTCAGACCTGGGATGTCCATGGAAGCCTGGAGGTCAAAACCAAAGTTCAGCTCACAAGTCAAATTACACTTTTATCCAATATTTGCTTTTTTAAAGTACTTTTAGGCAATGTATTAACACCTAAAGTATCAATTAGTTGATGGGTGCATTAGAAAATGATGGGCTCTATCTAAGTAATCACAATCATTTCATCATAGTCCGTAGCCATGGCTGAAACTCACGTCAATGACGGCAGCACTGCTGTCCAGGTGTTTGTACAGGTCATACAGCACCTCTCTAAGTTTCTTCATGTTCTTCTTGTTGGGCTGAAGCAGTATGGCCTGGAAGTTAACTGGCAACCCGTATCTACAAAAACAAGCATAGATGTAGGTCACCACGTTAACGCCAAGTCATTCTTTAACATTTGAGTACTAATATAAAAAATGAAATTACAGCAGATATTTAGGCCTTTTCACGTTTGAGCTGCATATGGCGTATTTTCAATCCAGATCCTATTAATCTTACTATTTGACGTTATGTTCGATGCATCATGTTAACACCTCTCACCTCAGTACTGACTCAACAAACACACGCAGCGCCTTTATGTGAATCCACGCGATGAAGGCCTCACTGAAATTCACCTTCAGCCATCGCACCAAAGGACCCTAGATGGAAAATAAGTTAAAAAAATTAATTAAAAAAAACATAGTTTAACATTGAGAAAAGACCTTTTATCAGAACATTATGTCAGAAACAACTTAGAGTTACTTCCATACATTCTGTCATTACCCCCATTAACATGCTGTACTTTGCCAGGTTGGATGTGAATGAAAAGCAGACTTACAAACTGTTTCTTCTTGTCTGTGGACAGGCGGGTCATCTCCTCTTTGTCTGCCTTCATCTCCTCCTCGTTGTACTGGAAGTCGCGCACTGTAAACCTGAGTCAAGATACACAGTAGAAAGCTGGTTAGGAAAATAAACAAATGTGCAGGAGTCTGCCCTTAGCCACTAAAATAACAGAAAAAGAAAATAAAGGGAAAGTTTACAATTAGAAAAATAAAGGATGTTAATAATAATAATCAAACATATTTCAGTCATCAATATAAAATGTGACTGTTTAGAATGAACAAATTTAGGGTAGATATATGAACACGTTTCACTACATAAACAATTAAGCTCATGCAAGACGCTGCCAATCAATATGAGTTGATGAACAGCAGTTAGAATATCGTTTCACAAAAGCTCTGAAAATCTTTATAAAGAAGTAACAGATGTAGACAGCTTTGTTGACACGTGTACACATGCAACAGACAAATACAGTTTTGTCTTTTTGTATGGTTTTGTGGCAAAAGTGGCTTTTACTCAGCCCAATTCACAGACAATAAATGTGCAAGGAGAGGAGAGGAAAGACGTGGAGCACTATTTTTTTTTTTTTTTTTTTTTTTTACAACTGCAACAAAATGCGCTGTTATTGACAATAACTGAGTTATCATGTCTGACATCCCGAGGTGGTCTAGTTTGGACAAATGTCCAAATCTGCTGAAGACGGTGAATAAGATAACAGGACCCGCAAAGACTCAGATTCTATTCTTCCATCCACTGAGTCATTGTCTACACCTGATAAAACCCTGGATTTTCTCTCTGCCAGGCAACAATTCTACCAACCTCAAATAAACATCTAATAAAATCAAGGATTGGATATTTCTATGTTTGTTACGGGACATTTAAAATACTGCAAGATAAGCAGGTGCCAACAAATGGTGTCCAGATCTGTGTTTATCAGATGAATCAGGAGAAGTTACTTGTTTTCTCTGGCTTTGTGTCTGAAGTCATCCACAGCCTTCCTGAAGAGCGTCACACTGAAAAGGCCGCTATCGTTGTCCTCAAACAGCTGCCTGACAGAAAGAGCAGAGAATACGTTCCAGTGAGAAAATGCAGAGCATGTTTGGTATTTTACAGCAAGTAATCAAGTGAATAATTGCATTAACATTATATTAAACTGCAATGCATGTTATTCTTAGCATGTGGTAAAAATGTCTTATAATGACTGCTTGTGAACTTAATTTACACACAATACTGATAAGTCTTGGCCAGGATTCTCTTCCATTAGAGATTTTTAATTTTGATGGGATTTTTCCAATGAAATAGAGGTTAATTTAAAGAACATAAAAAATAAATGTCCTGTAATCTGTTACCAACCAATACAAAAAGTGACTTGAACTTATTGAATATTGCCAAAGGTTGAGAAAATGTCTGGAATCTTTCATTTGCTACACTAAAATATGAGCAAACATGTTCAGTAGAAAAAAACGTAACAGTGACAAATATTCATTTTCTTTTATAATCATCTATAATGCATTTTTGCTTTTTTGTCATTTCTTTTTATATATTTGAATGCTTTTATTTAGCTAGATACAGTTCATAATGTTCAGATTGTTTGAAGAAACAAAATTACTTGTTGTAAATGTTTATTTTATGTAAAATCAAAGGGACGTACTTAGTGGAACGAGGTACAACCATTTCTGCCAGCGTCTCATACGTCTTCTGCCAGTCAATGTAGTTCGTCCTGTGGGGAAGAAATAAATAAATAAATAAAATAACATAATGTTGTTGTCTTAAAATAAATAAATAAACATAAAATAAAAAAAACAGCACTTAAAATACAAACACTTCAATGCAACATGCACGCGTCAAAAATAATAGTTTATGGGAATAAAGTTATTAACGATGATACAAAAACAACAACACATCTTCATATTTCACAAAGTTGTAGCTACAGAAATTCAGCCTATTGCTCTCATATTGATCACACAGATAATTCTGCAAATTATCCTACTTGGGGACGACCACCAGCATGGTAACCAGGTACTCTGAGTCCAGGACAAAGTCATCTTTCTTCACTATGTCAGCCAGACTCCTGGTCAACAAACTCCCTCTGGAAGAACACACAAAGTCACTTCACACTGCGAGCAGAAAGGCTTTTGTTACGGTATGTTCTCCAGCTAAAGATCAGAACCATCTGAGCATTTATGCTTGTTTTCTATCAATCTGTGCAGCTAAGAAGAAAATAATAACGGAAATCCAACTTCAACATTACTCACGCATTCTTCCTCTCCAGATTCTGCAGGTTTCCCTTCAGATTGTTGTAGGCTGAAGCTCTGGCCTTCAGGTCGTTGTCTATCTGAGTCACTTGCTGGAAGTCAATTATACTCTAATTTAGTGCACCAAACTTTTTCTTTGAGGCATAATTCACAAAAAAAAACTTCAGTAAAAGGTAACTTAAAGGGGAAAAGGTTTACCTTGGAGACAATCTCAGAAATGTTTTTCAGTGATTGTTTGATTGGATATTTAGCCATGTCCCACTGAAATCTGGTGATGTAGGTGACCAAGTCGACTGCAACCCACAAAAAAGTCGTCAGCTTTCAAATTTTTCACTTTCACTGTTTTTACTTACATATGTTTAAATATATGAAGGAAAACCAATGCTTTATTACTGTTTAACCACACTGCCCTGCAAAAGACTTCAGATCATTTCCATCTATTCCCATTTTGTCGCAGATAAATGAGCCACGATTTTCAAACAAAATTTCACAACTAAAAATCTGTGAGTTACTTTATTAAACCTTCTTCAGCTTGCTTACTGCGCCCCCAACATGGTTTGCAGCCAGCTGCAAATGTGGTGCCATGCTTTTCATTTTCAGATGATGGACTGAATAGTCAGCAGTGAGATGTTCAAACTGTGAAATATTGCGTCTCCCTGACTGGCCTGATGTGTTTGTTGGTCTTCATGAGGCTCTTTGTTCACTAATCTTCTCTACCTTTGAGGCCTGACACAGAAGACCTGAGAGATAAACTTTATTTGCTAATTAGGTGACTTGGTGCAAATATTTGCCTTGAATTTTAAGAGTGAAAGAGGCTGAATACAGCATTTTTAGATTTTTATCTATTAAAATGCATGTGTCCTCTCACTTTTAGCTTCATAAAGCTAAAGGCTTCATAAAGTCTTAGCTTAAGGCTAAAGCTTAATAGTCTATCATTTTATATGATAGACCATCTATCACAGTAAAATGGATGTTTGTGTAAAATGGACAGTAAAATGGATGTAAAATGGATGTTAAAATGGATGATGTGGCCAAAATGTGAAAAGATCACAAGGCTATGAATACTTTTGCAGGTATGTTTACCTCCGTTAGCTAGTAGGTTCTCCTGGACTTTGTCTCTGCTGTCCTCCAGAACATCGGCCATGTACTGAGCAACTTTCTTCACCACACTGAACATGATGATAAAACAATCACAAAAAAGAGTTGGAAATTAATGTAGTCTGAACTGAACGACACAACAAAACCATACGAGCTCATAGTGGCGTGGTTTACCTTTCCACAAAAGTGTCTAGCTTTGCAAGCTCATCCGACAGGCCCACTAACACATCAAGAGTCCCAACCTGTTTGATGTAAACACTAAAATTCAACAAAGAAAAACAACAACATAGATCATTTATAGGGTGAGCGTACTGCGTCACCTTAAGGTCTGGGATGTTGAATTTGTGGTTGGTGGACAGGTTACTGGTCCGCGTAGTGGCCACCATGAGCTTGTCCCATGTCTGCTGGCAGGTCTTCTCCCCCGGAGCGGAGATCAACCAGAATTCTGTCATGGCTGCTTTCAGGAAGTTTGTTCACCCAGCTACGTGTGGAGAGAAGTCACTGATGGTAGTAAACAGAGAAGAAGAATTGTTAGTTTAGAAGTAGAGATCACTGATTAGGTTCACAAGTGTAAGTCGATTATTTGGTCTTCTGTACAGAAAATAATACAAAGTCTCGTCTTTAATTTTCTATGTCAAACCACTGTGTGTTTACTGTACTAAATCCAAGCCACTACTTGCTCTTGACTTGTTCATCAATGGAGTGAAAACACTTCTCAGAAACAAGAGTGTGTGAGTCTAACATTGAACTAACCAGGGACAGCCCACACAGCGGGAATATCCAACATTATAATGTTTTTAATTTCTATGACCTTATTGGCAATTCTCATAAAAAAGGAAAAAGCCTTGCGTTGGCCGGGAATCGAACCCGGGTCAACTGCTTGGAAGGCAGCTATGCTAACCACTATACCACCAACGCTCACGGATACTGACCGTGACATCTGTCCCGAACAGAACTCAGCTGACCGATATTTCGTTTCCCTGTTTCTACTGTACACTTCCTATTTGTCTTCATGGCTACAGTCAGAACCACATACTGCGTAAAAAGACAGGTCTGGTGATTTATGGTCATATGATCAGCCTAAGCAGAGAAGCGTTGCTAAACAGTGATCATCTGCTTAATTAAAGGGGGTGAACATCACATGATCCACGGATCGCTCGTCGTTAAGTTGCGGATAACTTTAAGTGCAAAAAAATAAAATCTATGAAAAGCAGCTGAATAAATCTGCTTCATGTAATGATTCCTCCTGCCGCTGCTGACACGGGCTTGTTTGTCGCTGCAGCCTCACGCCGTCACGACACTAATACATAGAGGATTTCTGCACTTACCGATGAGCCTGACGGTCTCAACGCGATGGTCACGGGATTTAACTCAATGAAACAGACACAGCTTTCCATATATGAAGAGGAAAATATAAGGTTTAACATTCACAGGTCCTTCAACTGGGCATCTCACTCACGGTCAGCTGATCAAGGAAGAAGTTCTGCGTTTGCGCAACCGCTCCCTCTCACTGCTGCCCTCCCGTGGTGGTAAAAAATAAAGCTTCTTTTGGATGATAATGTGCCGTTCAGCTTTTCTGAAACATTGCCTCCTTGCGGCGAGATAAAGGTACTGTACTATGTACCTTTTTGCCACTAGGAGGCAGTAGATATCTTGAAATCAGTGGCTTGGAGCAAAGCTATTTTGTAGAAATTCTTAAATAGTTGCATTTTCACATTTATTATCCAACTCTGTGTTTAAATCTTTACACTGGGGCTCTCGCATTTCTTGTGATACATTTTAAATTGGCTTGAGTTTTATTTTGTGAATACTTTGTTATCATAATGGAAAGAAAATACAGTGTGTGTTTTCTAAGGAGAATGTAGATATAAATAATAAACTGATTGTTGTGTTGTTTTTTTCTTTAAAAACACTAAAATGGAATAACTGAGTTTTTTTTTCCATTTGACATTTGACTCATTTATGACTTTTGCAATGTTGCATTAAATTTGACACCAGACATTTCGCTCTTTAGAATAAATTCTCTAAAGCACACATCTCATATCTCAAGCATTGAAAAGAAAATGTCTTTGGATTTTTTTCAAGCATGGATGTTTGGAGGATATGAAACTGATTATTGATCATTTTGGTTTCTATCTGTAACTTCTGGCTCAAAATTAAATTTCCTTTTTCAGAACAGTGACTGCATTTTAATGAGACTCAGTGGAACCGGAGCACAAAATTGGATTTTCTCCCCCATCCTCGTGAATATGAAAGTACATTCTTTACTTTTTCTTTAAAAGTTACGAAAACAAACTTTTGTCTGGAATAAGAATATGCAAAATATTAAGTGCTGGAGAATTAAACAAATTTCCTGAAAATCGTTTAACTCATTATTCTTGTCAGACTGCACAGAATGCCTGAAAGCATTCGGATTAAGTTTAAAGAAGTAGATAACCTTTTGAAAAAATTCCATGTAGGACTTTCCTCCTCACAATCTTTAGTGCCTATATAAGTCAGAGTGTTTTTTGAGTTCATTGGAGTGCTATAAAAAAAGAAAAGGGTGTTTGGGCCACCCCACACAGTTCCTCCAAAGCACAAAAACACAAGTCATCTGACTGTGACAGATGCAGGCCAAACGTTTCTGCTTGTCTTAACGGTGTGTGGTCTACAGAACTTTATATAACACATCTCGCTGCATTAGAAAATTCCTACATCAATCTGGATTATCTAAAAAAAAGTTCGGCTAAATGATCGCCAACAAAAAAGCAAGACTGGGTGACAAAGAAAATATAAAGAGTTAATAGTTAAAAATTTGACATATTTTAATCCCTCACATTCCATGATACACAAGCACGCAGACTTTAAACTGAAATGAGGTTTTAAAAAGTAATCACCTGGATTTGCCTGATCCTATTGCAGTAAGTGGACTTTTGACTCACTGACTTTCAAAACTTTCCCACGAGCAACTCTCAAACCTCATAAAAAAATCACATAGAAATAAGTCCCTAGCTATATTTTGGTGGCTGCAGTGCATCATCATTATTATTATTATTATTATTATTATTATTATTATTATTATTATTATTATTATTATTATTATTATTATTATTATTATTATTATTATTATTATTATTATTATGTAAAAAGTTGTTTGCTCATTTATACACAAAAACAAGCTCTAGCTTAACTGGAAAAATGCCTTAAGCTATTCAAAGGCAGTCTGAGCAGGTTTGATCTGTCAACCTCATTTTCATACATTATATGTTGCTTAACCTTCTTGCATTGTCACAACTGCCACATTCTTTCCTGTCTTAAAAAGTCTTCATAATCCTTAAACTTTTTTATGTTTTGTCATGTTACAATCAGCATAACTTATTGGGCTTTAATTGAAGACTGAACGCTGCAAGTCAATGCCTCATTCGAATGTGCTTGGCTTTCTTAGACATAAAATATCTTTAACTATTTTGAATAATAAACTGAACTTTACTGGGATGTTTGATAACTAGAATAAACTGAAATTTATGCATAATTGAAATGATTTAGTTTTGTAATGTGTTTTGAGATGATATTGTGAAAAGGCGCTTTAAAAATGAACTGAATTCATTTTTGCTACAAATTCGATTTCAGTATTTTATCATGAGTCCTTATCATCTTTAAAGGTACCGTTTTCTAAAACAGTATTTAACTGCTACCTTTGCATGTTCAGGCTATAAGTGAAAAGTATTTTTCAATCCTCTTGCCTGGTTAAATTAAAATAAAAAACAAAAACCACAGCTTAAGCTCAATCGGATTGAATGGGGATCTACGGTAGACTATCTTTTTTAAGCTTAGCCGAAGATTCTGTTTGATTCGGATCTGAACTTTGACTACACCAATCTAATACATGACTGTAATTCATCTTCACGACACAACTTGCATTTTTACAAAAAAATGTAAAGAAATATGTTAGATATTGTGGTAGAAGTGTAATAAGTTCAACTGTTTTTTCAAGTCTTTGTTAATGGGATACTTCATTTGACTAATACCCAGAATATGTGTTCTTACACATCTATTATTCTATTCTCATTTAACAAATAAACATACCAAACATTTCTTTGTAGTGGGATGTTTTGCTATCTTGTATACATTTATGCACGTTATTGTTTTAGAAATTGAGAAACAAAATGAATAAAGGACATCAAGGATATCAGCTGTGATATCCTTTTGTGGTGTAAATAACTTCAAAAGCGGATAACACTTTAAGCTCTGATGTGAATTATCTACTATATTAAAGATTTGTCTTGTCATGCTTTTCCAGCGTTTAAAAAACATTGACTTGTCTTGACTTTAATGTTTTTTAAACGCTGGAAAAGCATGACAAGACAAATCTTTAATATAGTAGATGATTCACATCAGAGCTTAAAGTGTTATCCACTTTTGAAGTTATTCACCCCACAAAAGGATATCACAGCTGATATCCTTGATCTCCTTTATTAATTTTGTTTACAGTTACATTTAAATGTTGTATGTTTTCCATAAACGTAGGCGTTCTTCAACACTTGGTTTATTGAGGCTAAGCTGTGCCGCCATAGCAACCTATCATTGTCTTATTAAAAACATTAAAAGAGTAGTATGGGCTGGTTTATTGTGCGGCCATATATGGAAAGTTTATGGTTATGTAACCTAAATGAACAAACCCGGGACACTGCGGACCTTACAATATTCGGAAATACATATTTGGTATGCGCTCAAAAATGCAGCGCGTTCATTGGTGAAACTGAAACGACTAGCCCCGCCCACTGGTCGTTGATCACCTTTTCTACTTCCCCTGCTCTCTTCCAGTAGTTCTCCACCCACCAACCGACGGAGAGGACGCAGCGAGTCAACGCGGGTTTCCGACCTAAACATATGGCAAAAATAGCCTTCTTTCTTTCTTTCAACGTTGGGCCCACTACTCTTTAAAAATTCCGCCGAAAAAGAGAAGACGATTTTCCAAAACCTTTCGGCCGTTATCTCACGTAAGTACAGCGAAGCGTTGTTCCCCGGCTGTTGCTCCAAGGAGGATTCATTAAGCGGACGTTAACATGGCGGGCTGCTCTTTCTGCTGTCTTGCTACACATGATAGACCCGTTCACTGAGCTCTGGGATTTCGACATGTCTTCCGTTTTAATTCGAACATGTAAATATTGCTTCAGCGAGTCAGGTTTAGTGTGTTTTTGTGTACCGGATTTGTGTTGAGGTTTGTTGTAGGATTATTATGAAAATGCGGCGTTAACACAGCCATCTCCGACCGAAGGGCAGCCGAGAGCTACTCTAACGTTAGCGGCTTTTCTGCCTTGACTCTTTACCCAGCGTGTTTATGTTTTTCCCCGTCCGTAGTGCCAAAATAATCAGGTTTATTTGTGGCATTTGTAACGGTACTGGTTTTCCTGGTTTATTTTATCATCTTTGGTGACGCATTGAATTAATATTCAATTTGTCAAGTTGTCAGTCAGTGTTTTCACTTACAACGCATGCGCGGGATTTGGGGAGACGCATTAAATGCCTGACAAACCGGCCATGTTATCGTTTGTGGAAGTAAGATAAATACTAGCGTTTTTTAATTAAATAAACATAACCAAGCTTTTTAAGTGGTTGTGGAATAAGTACAATCTCACATTATATTGTTATGACTAGATTTTAGTGGCTTTAAAGATGAGTTTCACCAACACATTACACCAAAGACGCCTAGATCTTATTTAAGCCGCATGACTGTTTCCTTCTCTGTGGTTTGGAAACTTTTTAAGTTAAGTCTCAACTTAAGGGAGGAATGGGTCACGTTTACCGTAGATTTTAGGCAAAGAGATCGAATAAAAGTAAAAAATTATATATATTTTAAATTTTCTGTATTTCCTTTCTGTTTAATTGTTTGAGTCATGTTTTTAGGTCTGAAGTTAGGACAGTCGCATAGTTTTGAAAGATGAAAATTTGGGCTGATTTATGTTTTCATTCAGACTGAAACCTATGAGAAATCGTGACCTAAATCCACAAAAAAAAAAAAAAAAACGTTCAAAAAATATACATTTCAATTTAAGCTACAGAAATTGAAATGAAATTGTGATGCAGTGGTCATCACAATATCGCAAGCTCGGTGAATTGCTTGGGCACTTTATTTTTATTGTGTATAGATGAATTTACATGCATTTTACACTCTACATATCATGTTTTTTTTTTATTTACGCCAGTAGGAGTTCATATTACTGAAATGGCAAATACGAAGCTGTTTTTGTGGGCTCAGTGCAGCCTGCAGTATAAAGTTTGAAAATATCAGATTGTAATATTGCCAGCTCCATGTAGATGCCCTTTTTATTGCCTCTTGCGCATACATTCTTGTCTTACATTGTGTTATTTTTTTTCCCCAGGGCTCCCCTGTCTCTGTACAGGTGTATGAGCGCTACCCAGAGGGCCTAGGGGCGGCCCTTTACCGGGAGCACTTTGACTTCAACGCTGAGCCACCTTGGGATCCTAGCTGATAGCGGGACAGGTCC